CTCTCTCTCGCTCGCACTCTGCCACTCTCTCTCTCTCTCTCTCGCACTCTGCCACTCTCTCTCTCTCTCTCTCGCACTGTGCCTCTCTCTCTCTCTCGCACTGTGCCTCGCTCTCTCTCTCGCTCGCACTCTGCCACTCTCTCTCTCTCGCTCGCACTCTGCCACTCTCTCTCTCTCGCTCGCACTCTGCCACTCTCTCTCTCTCGCTCGCACTCTGCCACACTCTCTAATTTTTCTGTGCAATTACTGTATGATGCTGTATGTTGTTGTCTGCTCTATTTTTGGTGTTTGGTGTTTTTCTGTCTCTCTCTCTCTCTCTGTCACGGCGAGGAAGGGAGAAACCGTTGGTGAGGCATTAGCTAATGAAGGGCCGTTTAGACCCAGCCTCACACTTGATCTCTAGGCTGCTGGTGGCCTTGCCCGCGGCCCTGCTAGCTGACTTCATGTAGGGTGTGGCCGATTGCTAAACACTGCTCACCACTGTAATTCAGGCCTTCGGCAGCATAAGTAATGTATGATTGTTCTCTCTCACCCGTGTGTCTCTTTGGTCTCACTCTCTTTCTCTATCTCTGCGCTCTCTACAGTTTCTTTTTCTGTCTCATCTCTCGCCGCTGGTCTCGTCGCCGCTTGGTTGAGCATTAGCAATGAACGCTTTTTACCCTCCCACTGAACTCTAGCTGCTGGTGCTTGCGCGCGCCGCTGCTATCCGTGACCATGTAGGGTGTGCGATTGGCCTAATTGTCGATTGGCTATTCCGGGCCCTTCAGCCACAAAAGTAACGTAACTAACGCTACGTGATGACTATCGCTGAATCTTCAGGAACGACCGCTTATGCCACACATCAATCTTGTGAATGAGCTAGTGCTGCAAGCTCCTATGGCGTGATGTGACGACTATCGTTGAATCTTGCAGGAACCCGCTTAGTTGCTACACACTATATTTGTGAATGAGCTACGTGTCAGCCCTATCGCATGCTGTGAATCTGAATATTTGGAATATTCACGAATCATGGAAGTGAAATCTCGACGAAGTAAGAAGTTCATATTTCCAGTCACACTCTGGTACGCGTAGGCCTGGAGAAGGAGCGAGGAGACTTTTTCTAAGCTAGCTCCTAAAAGTTAGTAAGGCATTAATTCCTATACATTGCTACACTCAGTCAGAACATTGCATCAGCTAACTGCTATTACTTAGGGCTGTGTTATGAATTTGCCACGCAATCTAGCATGCTACGCATTTGATATAGGGAAGCACGTATTAGCTTTTATTTCGTGATAAGCTCTAGATGTTGTGTAGGCTCTGCCTCTGCTTCAATATCGCGCTCGGATCGTCTCTCTCTCTTCATATCGCGCTCTTCGCTCTCTATCTTCTTCTCTGCTCGCTCTTCTCTGCTCTTCATACTTCGCGCGTCGCGCTCGTCGCTCTCTCTTCATCTCTCGGCATCTCCCGGCGCTGCTCGCTCTCTAATCTTCATCTCTTCGCGGCTCTCGGCTCTCGATCTCTCTTGCATCTGCTCGGCGCTCTCGGCTCTCTGCTCTCTTCATTCTCTCGCGGCTCTCGCTGCTGCTGCATCTCTTGCATCTCGTCGGCGCTCTCGATCTCTCTCTGCTCTCCTCATCGCGCTCTTCTGATCTCTCTCTGCTTCATCTGCTCGTGGGCTCTCGGCTCTCCTGGCTGCTCTCTTCATCTCTCGCGGCTGCTTCCGCTCTCTCTCTGCTCTTCATCTCATTCGCGCTCACATCGGATCTCTGCTCTCTCTCATTCTCTCGGCTCCTTCGATCTCATCTCTCTCTTCATTTCTCGCGGCATCGTCGCTCTCTCTGCACGCGCTCATCAGCTTTCATCTCTGCTTTATCTTCGCGCTCCGTGCAGCTCTCACTCTCTGCTTATCTCTCCGGCCGGCTCCCTCGCTCTCTCTCTTTATCTCTTCGGGCTCGTCGCTTCTCTCTCTCTTGCATCTGGCGCTTCTCGCCTCTCTGTTCAATACTCGCGCGTCTCGATCTTGCTCTGTTCATAACTCGCGCTATCCGATCGATTCTCTCTCTGACATACGACTCGGGCCTCATACGTCCGATCTCCCTCTGCTTCGCTCTCCGTCGCTCGCGTCTCATCGCTCGCAGTCTCGATCGCGTCGCTTCTCGTCGCTCTCTCTCTCTCGCTCTCTCTTCTCCTCGGCTCTCTTGCTTCGCTCCTCGTCGCTATCTCTCTCGGCGCGCTCTCCTCTCTCGCTCGCATTCTCCGATCAGCTCTCTCTCTCCGCTCTCTCTCTCAGGCTCTCTCGGCTCGCCTCTCTCGACTCTGCTCTCACATCCAGCTCTCGTCTCTCTTGCTTCGCTCTCTCTCTCGCTGCTGTCTCTTCTTGCTCGCGATCGCTCTCTCTCTCGCTCTCTCCTCGCTCTCATCATCGCTGCGATGCGCGTCTCCTCTCTCGCGTCTCGCTGCTCATGCTCTCGTGCATCCTCTCGCGTCGATGCGCTCTCTCGCACATCGCTCTCTCTCGCTCTCTCTCGCATCTATCTATCTCATAAGTGCATTTAGCACCATGAAGGGCTTTACCGCTCACCCACTGATTCTAAGCTGCTTGGTGCTTGCCCGCCCTGCTAGCTGACGCATGTAGGGTGTGGCGATTGGCTAAGCAGCTGCTCACCCACCTGTATTCGGGCGCTTCAGCACCAGTAAGCGTATGATTTACGGGTGTTTTATCTGTTGCCTGGGCCTGAATGGTCAAAGGCGTGTGTAATAAAAGCCCCCGGCATACCGCGGTGGTGACACACCGTTACGTTGTCGTTGTGATCTTATGAGTTACGTGTGGATTGCTTTTAGTCAACGCCACTCTCTCTCTCTCTCTCGCACTGTGCCACTCTCTCTCTCTCTCTCGCACTCTGCCACTCTCTCTCTCTCTCGCTCGCACTCTGCCACTCTCTCCAATTTTTCTGTGCAATTACTGTATGATGCTGTATGTTGTTGTCTGCTCTATTTTTGGTGTTTAGTGTTTTTCTGTCTCTCTCTCTCTCTCTCTGTCTCTCTCTCTGTCACGCCGCTTGGTGAGCATTAGCAATGAAGCTTTT